CCTTTCGATGATTTACTGATTCTGTTCCCTGGCATGCGCAACTGCCTCCGAAACCAACTCGTGTGGTCGCAGGCGGATGCTCTGGAAATCCAAGGCCTTCATAGAGGTTCATATCAAGTTTCGAATGTGAACGGTTTCGAATGGAAGCAGTTTCGAATGATATATCCTTCCCTGCAGAGCTCAGCGGCAAAAGACGCCGAGAAACTATCGAACCCTTTATTAGTTCTAATGCGTAGAAAAGAATTCACGAAGAAAAACTGGAAAAAAAAAACTCAGACGACCACGCGACAGCTGGTCGAAAGCGAACAACAAGAGATCAGATGCCCCAATAAGGAAGGGAGGGCGGCCTTGCACCCTGGAGTGGAGGTCCTCGATCCACTTGACGATGTTGTTGAGGATGTTCTTCGCCTCCCTCGCGTCCTTCACCACCTCCTGTCGCGCTCGCAGGGAGAGCCTCCCGGATTTCTTGATGGTCACCAGCATCACGTAGTTTCCTGTGGTCGGGCGACATCGAGTCAATATCGGGAATGGTTTTCGAGATGTTTTTGAATTAGTCCAAAAGTTCAGACTATTTTCGAAGCATGGCGATAGTCGAGATGCAATCGCGAATCTGACTATCATGAAGTTATCATTAAGAGCAAATCACGTAGGCGTGCGCGGACAGACACGGACACAGATAAAGACACAGACAATGAAATCGACAGGAAGATTGAAAACGTTAAAGCAGCTTATGAAGGACAGGTCATGAACACCATATCTATACTTTTAGAAAAGGGGGAGCCATTTTTCTCAAAAAAGGGAGAAAAATCGCTTATTCCAGTTTCACTCCCCATTCACTCTGGGAAATGAGCGAATTTGCTCCATCACTAAGGAGTAAAATGCCAACTTTCTATGGGACCGCTGCCCCCCCCCCCCCGGTTGCAAACCAAAACAGTTTTCAATCGATAGATCTTCATGAGTAGATCTAAGTTGTCAATAGGCACAAATCTTTCAGAGTGGGATCATTGAGTTTTAGGTAATCAAAGTTCAAATCTTCGGTTGCTCTAATTTTTTTTCTTGCAAATGGATTAAACTCCTATGTCGTCGGGAGATACATCATTGGAAAGGACTCAATAAGACGAATTCAACGATGTCTTAATCAAGCATATAAGCCATGTGTATAAAAAAAAGAAAACTAATTAAACCACCATACTTTCACTTGCTACCCGTTAGGGTAACGATGTATAGGTCCATTCTAATTTTAAAAAGCGATTACATATAATACCAGGTATAACATATATTGAAACGTAGCAAAAGAATTAACAACAGAAGATTTGAACTTTGATGACCTGTAACTCAATGATCGCACTCTCTGACAGATTTGTGACCATTGACAACTTTGATCTACTCGTCAAGATCTATGTATAGATTGACAACTATTTTGGTTTGTAACGCGGGGGGGGGCGGTTTTTGGCATCGTCCTTTCTCTCCTCAGTGAGTAAAAATGCTCCCCTTAGAAGGAAGCAGGGATTTCGTCAGTGCAGGCGTTGACCTACATTTGACAGTGATGATTACAGTACATGTCAAAGGATGGACCACCTATTACGGCTCCTTGAAGTTTCCGTGACACCAGTTCTTCATTTCCTCGTTCTCCCATCAAGTTGAGGAAATAGTTGAATCGAGTTCACGGACGCCCCCATGGTATTCTAGATCTCCTGCGGATGAAACCATTGCGAGTTTCAAAAGGGCTCTCATGAGGAAAAAGAACTTGTTTATGGCCAGGGCTCTATGAATCTGTCTTGAATATGTGGATTTAAAAAATGACGAGTCCACGTTTATTGATTCCTATGAACAGACTAGGCGAGGCACTAAACAATCCTGCGCGCGATGATTCCAGGGAAAGAGGGAAGAGAACTTTTGTGTGCTGTGCGAAAAACGAGACCCTTACCTCCATCTAGTGGCCTGGCAAAGAACTTCAAGGCGTTCACTTCAATACGTGCGATGAGAGAGCATTTGGTGAGAGATGAAAGAGAACATTGGAAAAGCTCACAGTGTGCTCACTTTTTACTCCCAAAACGTTTGGAATTTTCTACGAGTGTACTTCGAGCCGACGCCGTCTTTGAAAATGACACTGGACAAACACGATGCGAGACAGACCAAGCATGTTAGACATGTTGTTTCTCAATTGAATTTATTGGAATAAGAGACTTCCCTTTCGATGATTTACTGATTCTGCTTCCTGGCATGCGCAACTGCTTCGGAAAGCACCTCGTGTGATCGTAGGCGGATCATATGGGAACCCAAGGCCTTCACAGTAGTTGACATCGAGATTCGAATGTGAACAGTTTCAAATGTGAACAGTTTCAAATGTGAACAGTTTCAAATGTGAACAGTTTCAAATGTGAACAGTTTCAAATGTTATATTTTTGTGACGTGGCGCACCTGACCCTAACGTAATCATCACAGTCATCAAGATTAAATCATGGTGGCTAGAAAGTATAGCCGAGATGGAGTGGAAAGGAAGAAAGGGAATCCTGAATGCCAACCAAGGGCGGACGAGATGACCATTTTGACCCCAAGAGAAAAGGGGAGGACAATTTTATAATACAAGGGAAGACATCATCCCAGGGATGTTCGGTTTCCCCTCATCCTCACTCTACTTCTTCTGGATCATTAGAAGCACACCAAGGGAGACAGAGAGGCGTTTGTGACACCCCGGTGCTAAGCATTCGATACTTAAAAAGACTGTGAAAGATCGGCCTTTCCTGAACGTATGAGATTTTTTCCGGAATCGGAGTGAATGTACCCATGCATGTTCAAATATGATCAGTGATTGATGTATGCAAAGAGAGGACGGGTCCTTTTGAACCAATACTGAGCTAATTGTCCCTTAATGAAGGCTAAATGCTAATTTTTTAAGTCGATGTCCGGTTTTGACATCGGTGTTAGTTGACAGCTGCCGGAATCAAGATGAAACTCTGTGAGAACTAGTAGCTTATGGAGTTTCCCCTTTCCAACCCCATTTCTTTCACGCGTGCAAGTATTATGAACCCTAACCGATTCAGGTACGGGTGTCTGAGAGAAGGAAACGTGAGTTTCTCTCGAGCCTGAGTTGTACTTCCGATTTAGGTGCTTGGGACATTGATTGGATAAGCCTGGAGTAAATCTCTACCTAAGATCCGTAGAGTCTCAAAATCATCTCATTTGTTTTGCATTCGAGACGGTCCGGTTCTTTTTCTATTTATTAGTGTTCCCGTTACATTTTGTTCCATTTGTTTTGAAACTCTCCTCCAAGGGTCAATATCACATTCATTTTGTGTTCTCTTTTACTCATGTAAATTGATTAAATTCTTAGAATAAATCAAATAATCAGATTCGGTGTGGTGATACTCCATTCTCGAACTTGAACAGTCACGAATCTCGCTTACCGAAAGGAGTTCATGGAGTTTTGTCCGGTGTGGGACGCTGAGAGGGTGTTTTAAGGTAGTTTTTCAGAAGAAACTGAGTTGCCTGAAATCACAAAGAAAATTTGAGTAAAATAGGTCGTTTCTTTGCATCTATTTCATCGATTGATGCAATCCGACCCATTGCGTCCCGTGCACGTGACATCTTTCCCTGCAGAGCCCAGCGGCAAAAGACGCCGAGAAACTATCGAACCCTTTATTAGTTCTAATGCGTACAAAATAATTCACGAAGTAAAACTGGAAAAAAAAAATCAAATCAAATAAAACTCAGACGACCACGATTTTCGGCAGCTGGTCGACAGCGAGCTGCGAGAGATCAGATCCCCGAATAAGGAAGGGAGGGCGTCCTTGCACCCTGGAGTGGAGGTCCTCGATCCACTTGACGATGTTGTTGAGGATGTTCTTCGCCTCCCTCGCGTCCTTCACCACCTCCTGTCGCGCTCGCAGGGAGAGCCTCCCGGAATTCCCAAAGGTCGTCAGCATCACGAAGTTTTCTGCGGTCGGACGACATCGAGTCAATATCGGGAACGGTTTTCGAGATATTTTCAAAATAGACCTAAAAGGCCATGTTCACACTACTTTCGAAGCATGGAGATGCTCGTAATGCAATCGCGAATCTGACTATCGTGGAGTTTTCATTAAGTGCAAATCGAGCAGGAGGGCGCCGACAGACACGGACACAGATGAAGACACAGTCATTGGAATCGACAGGAAGATTGAACGCGTAAAAACAGCTCATGAAAGACGGGGCATGAACACGATATCTACTTCGAGCCGACGCCGTCTTCGAAGACGACACCGGACAAACGCGATGCGAGACAGACCCAGCCCGTTAGACACGGACATAGCCACAGCCAGGAAGGGCCGACTCTCTCAGACGCAGACATCGACAGACGAGCATACAAATGCCAGATGCTCTACTACGTGTTACTGGTGACGGCCGGCAGCGAAGGGACGGCCGGTTTACACGGTCGCCGGCACAACAAGTAATAAAATGGGGGGGAAAAATAAAAGTTATCTCATTCTTTTGTGCTCGGTACACGAGAAAGCGATCGAGAGGCGACCTCGATGGAGATCCGAAAGAAAATCTCACCTTGAAACCTGTTATAGGGACCGATGAAATACAGAGCCGATATTTCCTTGTCGAGGAGACGAGCTTGACCCCCCAGATAGGTGGCGTTCACGTTGGAGGTGGTGTAGTCCACGGACCGGATGGCGTGAACGAGGTATTTGAGGAGCCAGATGGGGGTGACGGTGCTGTAGATGGTCTCGGCCATGTACATGGCGTTGATGCGGACGGAGGACTTTTCTTTGTCGACGGTGGTCTTGAGGTCGGTGAGGTACCGGAGGGAGTCGGGGGAGGGGTGGGAGGGGGCGTGGGATCGCTTCACGGTCGTGACGTTGCTCATGGTCTCGTCCGTGTTGCGGCGGAGGGAGACGACGAAGGCGCGGCGGTCGGCGTCGAGGATGTGCTGGACGGCGGCGGTGAAGACGTCGTTGACGGTGGCGCCGGTGGCGCGCTTGACGGCGGAGATGGTGCTCAGGGGGATGGGCTCGGAGTGGGCGAGGACCTGGACGTGGTCCGGCTCGAGTTTCCGACGGGTCAGTTTCTTGGCCATCCGCCAGGGGTTGAGGAACACGGTGTCGGCCGTGAGGCTCGGGAGGAGGAAGAGGGCGAACAACTGCCGCATCAAGCCGAGTTCGGAGGTCACTTTGTTCTCCTTCGAGGTCCACGAGGTGTCGGAGTCGAGGAGCCTCCGGACCAGACCCCTCAGGATGCCCTGGGCGTCCCCGAGGCAGTGGTGAAACCGGAAGACCAGCGCCGTCTGGGCCGAAGAGGAAAGCGGGACGACGTAGATGCACCAGGGAGATCGACCCTCGGGGGTCGTCGACGGCAGCGCCGCCACGACCGCGTCCAGCTCCCACTCGTCCCTCGCCGGAGGGAGACACAGAACGTGGTCGTCGACCGAGAAGTCCGACTCCTCGCACCAGATCTTGAACCCGAGGAAGTCGTCCACGAACATCCCGAGTTTCTCCCTCACCTGCGGGTTTCCCCTCTCCAACGCCTCCACCACCCTGTCCTTCACCCCCTCCGCCTCCACCGCCCCCGCCAGCGTCATCACCAGGCTCACCGGCTCGCTGTGATGATTCAACTCCGTGCAGTAGATGACGTCGTGCGCCGGCATCATCCTCATCCTCCTCCCCTTCGCCCTCGCCCTCGCCCTCAGGGCGACCGCCACCGCCACCCTGAGGGCGAGTCCCCCCAGCACCAACGGCAGGAGGACGACCCACGTGACGAGGCTTCGACCGACTCCCCAAGCCCATAACATCTCGTGGCCACAGCCCCCGGCTGCGACGAGAGGTCCTTCTGCGTCTTCTCTCTCTGGCTGCTGGGGGAGCGAGGAGAGGCGTCGTGTGAAGGGAGGGGAACCGACAAAAATCATCACGACATGAACTGAGTTGATGTTAAGATGAAATTATTTATATGAGCAATGTTAAGGTTGAAAATATGTTAAAATTAAGATGTAACATTTGAATAGAAATTGAAATCGACTAATAAGGAAAGTTGGCTTGGAGGATTTACTGGAGGTTTTTGCACGATCGAGGTCTGAATTTTGAGATCGGTCGTGGCTCTTGCTCTTTCGGCGGCTCGGGTTTTGGTTGCGTGGAATCTGGCATTAGAACCTCCAACTTTTGATATCATTATTCCAATTTTAAAAATTTGAACAAATGAACTCGTTAAATTACACAATTTTGCAAAATAAATGGCGAGGTAGAACGTCGTCGATTTTTTATTCTCTTTCCCTCTGGAATCGTCCGGAGTGGCTTGGAGGAGAGCGGGCGCGGAGCGTGAGGGCACGGAGAGCGAGGGCACGGAGGGCATCGCCCTCTGCGCCGCGTTGTAACCCGTTTCCGTATATAAACGACCGGTTGCGCAACGACCCCAATCTCAGCGGCCGCATGACGCAGCGAGGAAGACGTTAAGACATGGGGCCAGTCCCCCCCCCGTCCCCCCTCCTGCTTTCCCCCTCCCCTCCCCCCCCCCTCCGTCCCCTCGTGACGCTTACGTTCCTTTCTCCCTGCCTCGTGTTTACGTCCCTCCTTTCCGGCCTAGTGTTTTTCCACGTTGAACCCTCACAATAGACGCCTAGGCCGGAAAATAGGACAGAACGCACTATTCCAATCGCCCCTCCCTCCTTCCATCCCCCCCTCCCTCCCCCCATTCCTCCATCCCTCATCACGAGATCTCCATCGGATCGACACGGCCAAGTGGATCGACCACGCCTCTCCCTTGTAATCCGATCCGACCGGTCGGCGAGACCGTTCCAACGACTCTTAAACATGCCTAAATTCATGAAAATTCAATTTTGCAAGCAAGAAAAATGTTTAATTCCGGATCTCCAACTTTTGACAACCGATTTGTGGCAACACGTGATCAACATGTGACACTCTCGTGTAAATGACCTACGAAATCAGGATTTAAACTTTTTTTCTAATTCAACGCAAACATTTCGGAATGGAGTTTGCGCTGTCCGTGCCAAATTAATCTTCAATTAATAATGTATTAATTGCTATTGCAAAGGGGGGGGGGCAAAGGAACACCCCTCT